ATCATCCCGGCCGTAGGTTCGAACCCTCACCACGGCCCTTGTGGATTTGTTCATTTACTGTATATTATTCCTCAGTTTATATTGACTGTATATTAGCATCAGTTTATATTGACTGTATATTAGCATCAGTTTATATTGACTATATATTAGCATCAGTTTATATTGACTATATATTAGCATCAGTTTCCATAGATTCTCTGGATAGCTGAAGTTTGATTATTAGTCAATCAAACCGAGTTAATTCGATGTTAACTCTGGAGTAGAGACTTTAGTCTTAGATAAGACTTTAATCTTAGATAAGACTTTAGTCTTAGATAAGACTTTAGTCTTAGATAAGACTTTAGTCTTAGATAAGACTTTAATCTTAGATAAGACTTTAGTCTTAGATAAGACTTTAGTCTTAGATAAGACTTTAGTCTTAGATAAGACTTTAATCTTATTTTGTGCATCTTGGAAAGCTGTGTTACTGGCCAGCAGGTGTTGTATAAGGTGGGGAGCATCAGGGCACATGTGTAATATATTCACATACTCACTTATCACATCAACTCTCTACACTGCTCGCCCTTCAGCAACATACCAAAGTATTAATCTGTGTCGCCTTTTCAGATCCATTTTGTCCCATCTACAAACACTGATATGTAGCCAGCTTACATGGACTGATGATTAACGTCAGCCAGGAGTAATATAAGCCCTTAGAACAGATCCTTCGAGGACTGTTGCACTGTACCACTCTTGAGTACACCACCTTCTTGTGACCCTCTGCTTCTTGTCTCCTTGGTGCATACCTGGAAGACAAGGAGATGCACACTCACGGTTACTTCTGCTTTCTCAAGATAACCATGTCCTTCTCCACACTGTACAGCAGTCTTCCTAAGCGGAACCAAGTCATCAGCATTTGGGCAGTCCTTTAATCCAGTCCACCTGGGGGTCGTCGAGATTCAACATTGGCTGTTTCTTATCTCCAGTAGATTTAAGACAGTGGAGTTTTGTTGGGATCCCAGCCATGTTGGTGTCTCGTTAAAAGAGCGTGCGGACGCTATCTGCACTTGTCCCATTTCCCGTAAAGATATTCCTTATTTCGACTTTTACCCAGTTATTCATTCCTCCATTCTTGCCCGTTGGCAGGGTTGTTGGTCTTCTGTTACTGGTAATAAACTGCGTACTCTTAAGGGTAGTGTGTCCCTGTGGCCTTCCTCCTACCACCGTAACCGGCGGTGGGAAACAGCTCTGGCGAGGCTGCATATTGGCCATACACGCTTAACATACGGACACTTAATGGAGCGCCGCCCTGCTCCTTATTGTCCCTCTTACAGTCGTGCATATCCTTGTTGAATGTCTTGACTTCCAGGACGAGCCTGTGTCTTGCTTTCCGAGCATCCCTCGCGGTCACTTGTCCCTCGATAGAATTCTTGGTGAATCGGATACTTTTGATATCATTCACCTGATACGTTTCTGTTCTCATATTGGCATCCTTGGTGATATTTAGCGCCCTCTGATTATTCCGCACATTTGATGGTGCTACACAGCCTTCCTGGCTTGCTGCCTTCTTTGATAATTACTTACTTTTGGACAGTCTAGAAAGATGCCGGCCACCCGTCCCTCTGCCTTAGTAATACACCACCATGCCATAACTGTAGTCTCATCAGGCTCTGAACTTATTTTTATTAACACGTCTTCCATCTCTGCTTGCAACTCTAATGCTCTGCTGATATTCCACATTCATTTGTAATCCCCTGCAATTGAAATGGTATGCATTTCAGAATCACTGATCTGTAATTTGTTGCTTGCTTGTTTTGCCCCCCCCCCTTTTTTGTCGTTGACATTAGCCGTCTTCCAGCTGTCGGGCAATTCACCCCTCTCCAGTTAGATGGTAAAGATCAACATTTGTTACACACTAAGAGAACGTGCAGCTCATTTTAGTAGCCCGCGACACGTTACTATATACAGCAGTCTTCTTGTTACTTAGTGTCTCTAGTTGGTTCTCAACGTCAAAAGAAAAGTCTTACGCAGCAACTTCTCCTCTAGAACTGCTCAAGTCCCTCTTGGAGCTGAGGGGGCCTCTCTCAGTACCTCCTGAGACACACTCGGGAGATTGTGACTGGTCTCTGACACACTCGGGAGATTGTGACTGGTCTCTGACACACTCGGGAGATTGTGACTGGTCTGAGTTACCAATGAGTTCTGGGGTTTCACTCTCGAGTTGATCAATGACTCGCATCTTGCTTTGGATACACTGGTGTCGGAGCCTCCGTGTGTGGCGCTAAGCTCGCTGTGTATTATGTTATGTTGCAGCTCCTGGGCCCGGTGTGGTCGTGGGGGTGTTCTCCAGTGTGTACCCTTAC